TTTTCATTTTGTAGGACAGAGTTTGTTCAGAAAGGAAATATAACAGTAAAAGGGACTGGACTGCTGAATTGCTTACTGGAAATTTTTGCACAATCCTTTTTAAATCAAGGAGTCAAAAGGGTAAGTGCTTTATTTTTTAAATTTAATTCCCAGGTTCCTGACATCTAATGTGCTTTCTTCTGCTATGTACAATATTCTAGTTGCTTTATATTAAAAGGTGTCAAAACAAGTATTGGCACAAAAGACATTCCCATATATGTATTTGTTTAAATTACAGGTAATATAATAGGTCACCAACTGCCTACACTGTATTTGAAGTTTTCGTTCAGGTAGAGTTTGGGGGAGCACTTGAAGCATTCATATAAGTGCCTCATTTTCAGCTAATCCAAACTCCTTTTAATTCATAAATTATCCCTGAGATATTTAGCTAGCAGCAAATGTGGCTATATGAGGCTGCTGTTTATGGTTGTTCTGTCATGGTATCTTCTCAGAATCTAATTATAAGTCTGAGTATGTATGTTCAATCACAAACAGACACATGGTCAAGCAAATATGTGATTGTATACATTATAAAATTGATTAGAAGAAAAATTGAAAACTCCTGGCACTTCTGAATAATGTAACCAAGTGATCCTGGCCCATTTTGGGGTTCTTGGGGATAATTGTCAGAGGTCAAAATAGATTAAGATTGTGTAGAACATAATGAGATCTTTTTCTTTTTATTCCTTTTGATAACTTTTTTTTAACTCATCTGGTCAGATTTATTCTGGGATGCTGCCAAATATACTCAGAAACTTTATTTCAGTGTTTACTTGACATTCATCTTACTTGCAGATGGTTCACCTTTTTCTTTCAGTTGTTTCTATTTTCATCATTTTCTGTAATAATGGCACAAGCAAAACAAGACAAAGAGGTCAAAAGTATTTTCAGTCAGAAGTACATGGACATACCTGGTGCAATCTTAAAAGTCAGAGCAAAGCCGCATGATGCAGCGGATAATATGACATATTGAACCTAATATGAAATACAGCTTTCTCTCATTTTATATTAATTCACTTTATGTGAGGTCTAGCAAGGCGAAGGAAGCCCAAAGTTACCTTTAGAAGAAAATACTTATGGTTTTCCTTTCACTACAGAGGTCAGTTAAGTTCCACTGTCTACATTTGCATATAACAAACAAGGTTTGTTACAACAAAAAGTTCAGCTTAGTTGATAAAATTAAAATGACAAGTATTAGAACCTCAGTTGTAAGGGAATATATTTATTGAGCAGTACCATTCTTTCAGTCATATATGACTCTGCAATTGACCATTACTCATTTTATACATTCCTTTTTCCCCGCTCTTCTTTCCTAACCCCTATATTATAGGCAGCAGTGTGCTGTGAGGAAGAAAGGGAAAGCAGCTTTCGTACTGTGAACATAATTGATTCAATAAATAACATGTTAAGATTCCCAGTGCAAAACTCAAGAGTTCTCACATTTGTCAGTTCGTGCTGTATTTAGTAAATGGTGGCAAACTTAATTTAGATGGATGAGCTGTATTAGCCAGTTCTCACTTCCTGTGGAGATGATGAAAACAGAAAAAGGAGCTGCAAGTTCCAATATTTAAAGTTTATAAAGGAGCACTTTGCAAGCCATTCTGAATTTTTAAAATGTGGATCATTTGGGTTATTGGTTTGGAACTGATCCAAAGTTGGCAAGGTAAACACAATTTCCAAATTCTGTTATGAAAAGAAGAATTGAAGGTGTATTGCACTGTTTGAGCTGCCAGTTTTTTTTGTTATATATGCAGATGTTTCTCCTTTACCAGAGAACCTTGAACTACAGCCACTGACATCCCGATCTGAAAACAAACAGAATATAGTAAATACTAGAATCAAACTACCAAATTCTGATTGGTACACTGGTCAAAATTGCAACAAGCTACAGCTCAAGGTTCTAGTTATAACAGAGCTGATAAATCAGTGCAAACAATATATATTTAACTTCCCAGAATTAAAAAAAATGTACAAAGTATGAGCTTTATACATAAAATGCCCAACTCACTCCCTGAAATGTTTGCTGGTTGTGACCAGAAAGACATTCAAAATTACTAGCCAAAAGCCCAAGCAGTCTATTCACGAAATGTTAAGAATCTAAAAGAGAAACTTTTTTAGGAATTTGCAATTTGTCTTATTGCTTAGTTTTCTACGTAGATTTTTTACATTAGTTTCTTTCAAGAGCAGCTTTCCCAAAATCGTAGGTATGGATAGAATTTATAGAATGCCCTGTTGTTTGACTACTTTCCTCAAGACTCTTGTGATTTTTCATGGGTTTCTATTTAACCTGAAAGTTAGCAGATCATCAGTGAAACTTGTAAGAGGTTTAGTGCAGTAGGACTCCAATGAGTGACTCTAATTGTGTTTGCAAGAGATTTGTGATGACACTGGAGTATGCATAGAGTTATTTGTAAAATATTTAGATTTCAAAGTGATCTAGTCTGTGATGTTTTTTTACAGAGTATTTCAATCATGGAGAGACTTCTGCAAGACCAGTTTGGAGGGCCTGTTTTATAATGAAAAATGTGAGTGTATAGATGAACCGTTTTGTTCAATGTAATAATTAACCAAGAAAGTTAAAAAGATTTTATAGCATATTTGATTCTGAGCATATTTGAAAAGTCTAATAACTTGAATTCTGCTTGTACCAGAACTTTCACAAGTTCTTCACGACTTGCTGTATGATAGAGTTAGCCTAAAGTAGTTACAAAAAGAGTGGTGCTTCCTTTGTGTTCCCACGCATGGCGAAGCATCTCATTACAAGGTTTTGTAGAGCCATACTAGGTTTTGCTTGTACTAGGACCAGTACTTGAAGCCTTTGGCTAAATTCTAATAGCAGATTTTGCCACATAAATAGTCTTCTATGGTTGCTGTTATAGCATTGTTTTCTAAACAGTATACACACACACATATGTATGTATGTATGTATGTATGTATGTATCTCCCAGCCATATTTAAATGAGTTGTTCTGAAGTTGGTTGGTACAACATAGAAATAAATAAATAAATAATCCCATGGGCTTTAGGAAAGAGAGCAAATGACTATTGATTGCTTTGTAGTTATTATTTTTTTAAAAGATATTTATTGCAGGGGTTGTTTTTTTTCTTCCAGGAACTAAAGTCTCCATATATCTAAGTTGATACATAGCACTACATCCTTATTTCCAACCTTACATTTTACTGAAGTTAACCCTGTGGGTTGTTTTAATGGAGAAGAAAAGATTGTTAAAGAGAAGAGAAAGATTTGCAGTCTCCCCTAAGTAACACATATGGAATGACATAATTTGAACAATACGTGCTCCAGAACAAAATATTTATTTTGAAAAATGCATCACCGTGTACTTGTTCTCTGATTTCAAAGATGTAAATATTTATAAGAAACCATCCATTTGAAAAATAACTCCCAGATCTTTGGTTCTAAGGAAAAGCTTACTAGCCAAAAGGAATAAGCTTTTCTTGTATTTGAATATGCATAATTTTGTTTGGCAGAATGTATTACATGGAAACTGGGAGAATTAAGAGATGATGTGAATTTATACTATATGATCACATAAAGACTAAGAATTTAGTTTTTTTTTAAAATATTCATTATTCTTCTATAATACAAAAATGGTAAACATACACAAATGCTATTAATATATTTTGGATTACCAATATAACTCTGTAAACTGTGAACCATTCCAAAACTTAGGGTTTTTCAATAGTATCTATCTTAATATAGAATGGCAAACTATTTTTATATAGTAAAAGGTTTTCAGTGATTGTGTTTAATTACTTCACTTAAAGTACTGTGGGATGAAATGGAAGTTTAACTTGAGGAGTCCTATTATAACTGCACATATGAGCCAGCAATGTGCAGCAGCAGCCAAAAAAGCTAATATAATCCTGGGTTGTATAAATAGAGAAATAGAATCAAGATCACACGAAGTATTAGTACTGCTTTATAAAACCCTAGTGAGGCCACACCTGGAATACTGCAACCAATTTTGGTCACCATACTACAAAAAATATGTTGAGACCTTGGAAAAAGTTCAGAGAAGAGCAACTAAGATGATCCAACGCCTGGAGACTAAAACATATGAAGAACGGCTGCAGGACTTGGGTTTGGCTAGTCTAAAGAAAAGAAGAAACAGGGGCAACATGATAACAGTATTCCAGTGTTTGAGACGCTGCCACAAAGAAGAGGGTGTCAAATTATTCTCCAAAGCACCAGAGGGCAGGACAAGAAACAATGGTTGGAAATTGATCAAAGAAAGAAGTAACCTGGAATTAAGGAGGAAGTTTCTAACAGTGAGGACAATTAACCAGTTGGAACAGCTTGCCTTTAGAAATTGTGGGCGCTCCATTTATGGAGGTTTTTAAGAAGAGACTGGACAGTCACTTGTCTGAGATGGTGTAGGTTCTCCTGCGTGAGCAGGGGACTGTACTAGAAGACCTCCAAAGTCTCTTCCAGTTCTATTCTATTCTATTCTATTCTATTCTATTCTATTCTATTCTATTCTATTCTATTCTATTCTATTCTATTCTATTCTATTGTTGCTTTTCAAATTGTGGGTATAAACAGTCTCTTTGAAGTGAGAAATGTATTTGATAAAAATAAACAGAGATCAAGGTCACAAGATTCTAATGGATTTTAAAATTCTTTGTAGCCTAGTGAGGATATCAGGCTTTAATAAGCATTGACATATCTACATATATTCTACATACTTTTTTTCACTATTGGGACATCAAGTAGCTGAAGTGCCAAGAGGTAGTTAATATATCTACCCAGAACTAGCAAATTAAATGCATTAAATAAACTTTATCAACATCAAAGAGAGATTTGGGTGACGCTTAGATAAATATTTGAGTTTCAAATTATTTAACTTTTGATTAAATAAAATTATGTTCTGGAGAAATAGAGATATTGTTCCAACTTGCACTTTTATGATGAAGATTGCTGGAATGAGCTGGAGTGAATTTACATTTACTAAGCACAGCAGTTCCACTGGGTCATTTTAAATTTCTTTCAGCAATGAGATGGTCTAACCATTTGAACAGCTGTTGGACAGCTGGCTAATGGCCCCAAAAGTGTGCCAACTGACTGCTGCTTCCCTATACTTTTTCCTCTCTTTTATTAAACATGTTGAAAGTTGGATGGATGTTCCCAGCAATATGAATATTGAGCAACGGTGGAGACAATCCTTTCCTGCTGTGTTTGAATTTTGCCCTCATTTTTCCATATGTGAACGAAACATTCACATAGGGAGAATGCAAAAAGATGAAAATTAATGTGCATTTTAATTGTTACAAAGGCAGGATTGATATATGAATGTTGCTCTTGCAGTTTATTTAAATGCTGAAGACCAACAAAACTCCCACCTAAAAATACATACATTATTATCTTAGAACATAATAGAAGTAGTATTGAACCCCCAAGGAAGTTGTTAAGAATTATTTTGTTAGATGGATGTAAAAATGCATCATTATTGAATCAAACGTTTTCGATGTTATCATTTTACAATTATGGTAACATACCAATTAGCAGGTGCTTCATTAATAGCTAGATGTGTATCAGTCAGTGCTAGTAGGGCTAACCCAGTTATGGGCTGTATTAAAATAAGCATTGCATCAAATACATTTGAAGATGTTATTCCCCTCTAATCTATCACACCTGGAACATAGTGAATGATTCTGGGTATTGCATTTCCAGAAGGATTGACAAATTAAAATAAGTTCAGAGGAGGGGAAGAATATTGATACAGATACATGACATGCCCTGTGAGGACAGCTAAAAGAACTTGGGATGATCAGATTGGAGAAAAGACTGAGGGAAGATATCTCAGGGTTCAGGTACATAAAAGGGTGCCCTAGAGAAAATGGTCAGGAAACAAGGTCCAGAAATAATACCCAATGAACAATAAATGAATACATACAAATGATGGGTATAAATGTGGGAGTCTGGATGGGAAACAGCAGGCTTCAACTGAACCTGATAAGACCAAATGGCTTTGGATTTTAGGGTCTTCTGGATCTGGGACTTTAATGGGGAGTTTCACTGCCCCAATCAGATCTGGCACGCAACTTGGAGGTCCTACTGAACTCATATGACTTCTGCTCATAGAGCAGATGCCAACTATGGCGGGAAGACCTTGTGCTAGTTGTGCCCTGGATGAGGCTCTGCTTGCAGTTACTCATGCCCAGGTCACCTTCCAAATGGACAGTTGTAATGTACTCTATATGAGGCTGCTCTTGAACAGCATCCAGAAGCTTCAGCTGCCAGAAAAGCACAGTTATGCATGCCCCTAGAATGGCATACATTCAACCTCTGCTCTGTGCGCTGCCTTGATTGTTGATTTGCTTCTGTTTCAATTCAAGGTGCTGGTTTTGATCTTTAAAGCCCTACAAGGCATGGGATCAGGTTATTTGAGGGACTACCTTTCCCTGGATACTTCTACTCATCCCATCAGGTCCAGCAGGAGGAGTGTGTATGAGTCCTATCTACTGAAGAATTTCATCTAATGGTATCTGGGAGGTGGGCCTTTTCTGCCACAGAACCTGCCCTTTGCAACATCATTGCCTCTCACCCCCTCCCACTTCCCATGATGAGATTAGTCCTGACTCTATAGGTATTTAGGAACTCCCTGAAAACAGTTCTTCCACCTGGCTTGGGGATGCCATGGAAATGGGGAGCCCAGGAAATTGTAGCCCTGTGTGTTGGGATGCTGGTTCATTCTCCTTATTTATATTGTTTAATTCTTTTATCTGTTTTAACTGGTATCTCCATTAGATGTTCTAATTGGTTGTTTTATTGTACACTACCTAGAATCATGTTTGTGAGATCAAACTTGTGAGATCATGTTTATATAAATCAAATAAACAAGCTCAACTAACTGGATTTCTTCCCCCCCCCCTTCCATTTAATTATGCTGATTGTCCCTGCTGTTTTGTGGGCAAGGTTTTTTAAAAGTGGTTTGCCATTGCCTTCTTAGGGCTGAGAGAAAGTGATTCTAGGATTCTAATGTTCTATGTGAAAAGTTGTTCTTCAAAATTCTATCTAATGATCTCACTATAGTATAATTCTTGCCAAAGAACAAACTTCTGTTCTTAAGCAGAGAGCTTTCACACCATAGACAAAATCCCAACTCCTGGGCCAACTAAGCAGACTAAAGCTCCAGTATCTACTCTAATTGCAGCATCTAATTTAATATTAATATAGGATAATTGTATCTGTTAAATCTTACAGATTGGTTGCAATAGATTACCAAGAGTCTTAGGCCTATGGTTTCATCTTGTAATAGACCATTCAGTATTTCAAATAGTTTATTTTACTGTGTTGTTGGATATGCTCTTTTGCTAGCCCATTAGAATAAGCTGAAATGTAGCCTCTCACCTTTGTTTAATCATAGGATAGTCAATATCAATTTACTTTTTTAACTCTTCAGATTATCAAGGAACTAACAGCCGTTTCCCTTGGTGGAGGGTTATCAGGAGGAATATTGACTTCCTGGATAGGTGATGGTGGGTCTAAATCAGAGCAAGTGAGGATCTATCTGCCTATAGTGATGGCTCCATATAATATTTCCCACCTATAGATAACTTCCCTGCTTAACATGAAAAGAGAACATAGAATAAATAATGTTCTGTAACATAGGAAGACTCAGAAGAGACAGTCCACTTCCATTTAAGTGGTCAGGCCAGAAATTAATGACAACTGTGAAATCATGAACAATTTCTGACAGGGAATAGAACAACCAGCTGAGAGGATTTTGGCAGTTCCCAAAATTGCCTGTGTTAGATCTGATAAGTTTATTATGCACCAATGTATTTTTTAAAAAGTTACAAAAAAGTAAGCAATTTACATGGCTGCCTGTATTATTTAAAATCCAGAAGAGACTGAATAGGATAACTTGTTGTTGGAGAAAATACAGATTTGATTTCTGTTTGTTTAATTGATAATGGATTCATTTTTGTTCCATAATAGTTGCACTTTTGTGAAACATTCTTATATGGCATTTTTTTATCTCCCTGAATCTTTCCTATACTGATTGAAACTGGTTTCTTAATAGTTTTTATTTTATTGTTTCCTTTTTCTCAAAGAGGCTATTAGAGGAAATATAAACAGTGAGTAAGATGAATCATATTAAGCTAGAATCTTTCTGATTCTAGGGATTGAGTTTATTATTTGACCCTATAAGGGTATTTTCCTCTATAAAAGAAATATATTGCCTAGTTAGTTGATACCACTATGCTATTGATGTTTTAGACTTCAAAGAAGTCCAGTCTGTCTTTCATAAATAACTCCCAACACAGCCCCTTTTTCAATCCTTTCTCCAAGTGGATACTTCATGCGTGAAAAGAATGACCTTTTACTGTCTGAAGGATAACACCAATATATATAAAACTCAACAAACAGCTTTTCTAAGACCCACCTGCCCATCACAATCATCTCAAAATGTCCTCTGTGTAGCGCCTTCTGTGCATTCTACCTCTTGAGAAGAGGGATGGCTAGCAAAATAGTTTGCCAAAATTGAAAGGGATTGAGACCTTCCTCATAGTAGTTGTTACTATCATAGTGAGCCTCAATTGTATGGTATGTGGCCCCATGAGGTGAGTTGAACATGTTATGTGTACCCATAATAGCCTAAGCATGGAAATCACAGGGGTGCCAACACACTATCAAAATCAGTATCAAAAATGATTAACTGTTGAAGACGTTTGGCAATTACATGCTTGTTTGTAGTTTAATCCTTGGCTTAAACTTAAATGGTTGGGTATCTTTGTAGAATATAACATTCAATTATTTTAAATTCAAAATAACAATGTTTTAGCACCTGGGATATTTGAATGGAACTGTATTCATTAATTTGGT